GGGTCTCGCTCTTGCTCAGGCTGGTCTCGAACTCCTGACCTTGAGCGATCCACCCGCCTCGGCCTCCCAGAATGCTAGGATGACAGGCATCAGCCACTGCACCCGGCCTGAAGCCCCTACTTGGAAGGACTTGGTGCCTCTTTGCATCTCCCGCATGGTCTTGTTGGGGAAACTGAGGCAGCCAGTCATGACTCCGCGGGGCTGAGTCCCTGCCTGAGCCAGACACATGCCTGGTGTCCACTCTGAGTGTCTGCTCAGATCTTCCCACCAACCCGTGTCACAAAGAAGGAAACTGAGGCCAGAGTGGCTGTGGGGCACAGAGGTCACCCCAGAACTTCCTCGGGGGAGGAATGGGGCAGGGCGGACACAGCGGTGAGACCCCCCCCGCCCCCGACCTGGAGGCTGTGTGGGGACCCGTGTCCCAAGCTGCTCTGGCCTGCCCGCCCTTGCGACACTGTGCGGCTGGAACTGATTAACCAAAGCCGTGTCGTAATCTCCGCTGGCTGGACTCACGAGTCCCCCCAGAGGTGACTGCGCCCCTCACCCCTGCAAGGGGGTGCACGAGTCCTTCCTTGGCGGGAAGGGTGGGCGAGCCACGGATGGCCGTCACGCTTCTGTTTCGGGTTTCTCTGGACCGCGTTTCAGCGACACCTGGTTGGCAAAGTGGCCTCACGGCGTGGCGTTTACAGGCGTCATCTGCTGATGGTCGTGGCGCGGCCTTGAGCAGCCGCTGTCCCTCCCTGAGCTGGCATCTCCTCGTCACTCCGTGAGGGGGCGGCGTACACGGGGGGTCGGGGTGGGTGCCCGAGAGGTGGCACGGCCCGGGCGTTGGGATGCAGGCAGGGGCGCCCGGGGCCTGGGGGTCGAGTGCCATTTGTGGCCCGGCAAGTAAGCGGCGAGGCCTTGGCAAGTTTCTTGGTCCTTCTGGCCTCAGTTTTCCCATCTGTTAAATGGGGATAATACGAATTTCAACCTGCTAGAAGCAAGCAGGTCAAGGGACGCAAAGCATCAGGCAAAGAGCCGGGCACCGGGCCACCCCTCGGTCCAGGCCAAGCTCCGCCGCCCCTGACCGACAGCTGTGTTCGCCTGGGACCTGCAGCCCAGTGGGAGGGCCGGGGGCAGAGGACGCAGGCCAGGGGGGCTCGGGTTTGGGGCCATGGGAGCGGAGGGTGGGAGATGCCCCCGTGTGGCCCTGAGTCGGGGGGGGTTAGACCCAAGGGTCTGCAAGGCCCCTGTCTGTCCCCCGCATGCCACCCCGCCCATCTGCAGGGCCCGGAGCTCCCCGGGTCTGTGTGGTGGCCAGGGTGGGGCAGGACAGCCCAGCCCTGTAATCTCTGGCTGCACGTAGCTATTCTGGGCCTCTCTCTGGTTGCTGTCCCCTCTTGCCCTCCACCCACGGGCCCCCGGGCTCTGTTAGGGACCCATTTTCCCGCAGGCTGCCAGGAAATGAGAGGCCCCCCCCCCCGCTAAGAGCTGGAGTTTCCGGAAGGCTGAGAACTTGCGAACGGTGGGGCCGCAGGGCTGCTCCTCCGACCCCTGCCCACGGACCCGGGCTGGCGGGCGCCGGCTCTTCTGGGTCCCCAGACGTAGCCCCAGGGAAAGGAAGACGTCTCGTCTGGTCTGCAAGACGGTGACAAGGCCCCACCTCCTCTCAGAGAGGCCTGTGCTGGCCTGGGGTGGGGACCGCTGCTATACTTGGCCCGGTGGTGGTGGCCAGACCCAGCCGGTGGCCTCCCCACACTTTGAGGGACTGGCCAACGGGGCCACCCTCTCTTCTCAGCTCATTTTCTGATGACGATGGTGTTCCTGGGACAAGCCCAGATCCCTGAGTCCAGAGACAGAAGTTCAAGACTGGGACAGTCAACGACCCTGAGATACAGGGAGGCCTCTGGGCCTCCCAGGACCTCAGCCT